ACAAGCACCAAGGCTCTGCAGTACCTCTCCGTGCCTGTCTACACCATCTTCAAGAACTTGACCATCATCGCCATTGCTTATGGTGAGGTCCTCTGGTTTGGTGGCTCCGTCACCCCCATCGCCCTCTCTTCGTTCGGTCTCATGGTTCTAAGCTCTGTGGTTGCTGCTTGGGCTGACATCAAGAGCGCTATCTCTGGTGACTACAGCGCTACTACTGGTGATGCCGATGCTCTTGCGACTCTGAATGCCGGCTACTTCTGGATGGCTATGAACGTCATCTGCTCTGCTTCTTATGTTTTGGGCATGCGCAAAGTTATCCACAAGATGAACTTCAAGGATTGGGACAGTACGTTTATCCTCTCGGCGCACCCTCAGAGTTGCGCTCAAGAACACTGCATGAAAGAACAACTGCTAACAAGTCGACAGCCATGTACTACAACAACCTTCTCACCATTCCGGTCCTTGTCTTCTTCTCTCTCGTCACTGAGGATTGGTCCAGCGCCAACTTCGCCAAGAATTTCCCCGAGGACTCGCGCAACCGTATCTTCATTGGTATCATCTACTCTGGTCTGGCCGCTATCTTCATTTCTTACTGCTCCGCCTGGTGCATCCGAGTCACCTCTTCCACCACCTACTCCATGGTTGGTGCTCTCAACAAGCTGCCCATTGCTGTCTCTGGTCTCATCTTCTTCGCTGCTCCCGTTACCGTTGGAAGTGTGTCAGCCATCTTCATCGGTTTCGTCTCGGGTATCGTTTATGCTTGGGCGAAGGTCAAGGAGAACGAGGCCAAGAAGAACGCTCTTCCTACAGCTGAGAGCCGAGAGCCATCAAAGTAAATTTGGCATGACACAGCGATGGCTTGTTAGGGACACCATCACCATTCAGCAAGGCTCATGAGCTAAGTAGCCATTTTTGGCCAATACTTCCATTTAGTCTGGTTAGACCTGAACGACAATAATGTACCGTTCCACGGTATTTGAACGACACACATAATGTAGACATTTTTTTGTATAACGTCGGGGGCAAGAGCTCGCTATCTCGATGGGGTTTTAGGGTGGGTGTCATTTAAAAGCGTTTATAGACCTGCTTCAATATACTGTCTTTTTTGCGACTGCAAACATGATGTCAACAACAATGGCGCAAGGCTACCTAGTAACTACCTAGTGAAGACGAACCAACAGATAACGCTCGAGCCTTCATGACGTCTAGGATAGAGGGAACACGGCTCAGCCCTGCCCGTTGACATGGGAGACTGGTTAACGTTTAACGGCGTGGCCTTGGCACAGATCTCGCATGGCAAGTCATGTTGTACAGCAAATCAGCAATACACCGCAGCAACGTACACAAGAGGCTGCATAAGTCCAACGTTACATCAGTACATATTGCGAGTCTTGACTAAGGACGCCATGTCCTGTACAGAGTTAAGAGAATCTATAGACCAAGACGAATACAGTAAAAGACCGAAAGTACATATCTTCAAGAAATATCATAATTTCATCTTAACTTCAAAGTCATGCATTAATCTCCATCCTCTCCTCCTTCATCTTCCAGAAATCTCATCTCACCCCCTATCTCTTGCAGAGCAGGGCTGAGCCATCCTGTCAGATTAAACCAATTTTCGGTCTCAACCCCGTTTTAAGCATATGGAGTGACATTCCACCCCCTTTTCCATAGAAGCATTTTGTGGCGTAAGGCATTGTCATTCTTTCGCTGGTGAAAACCTAAGGAAAAAAAGACCGTTCTGGAACGGCGGGCTCTGTGACTTTGACATATTTCTAGGCGCGGGGGAAGATCGCTACCGCTGGGCTGGGACGCGTTGGTTCGAGTCGAAGCCTTTTAGCGGGAGGACCCTAGAATCAATAGTCTAGCCCTACGAACAGATGCAATTGTGTTCGAGATATGGAGTACAATGGGGTTTGCATGGTATATTGTGGTTTTAGCGATATGGTGTATATTCGGCCCCAGGGTAGACGGAGAAAGAGATGTAATTTTACTCTAGTCTATAGACTGGCGTTTTACTAATTGTTCAGCTCCGTAATCCTACGGTAGTTTGTATGGAGAACAGCAAAATGCTACTTGGGACTTCAGTTGGATCCTTGACCCGGTTTGAGAAGTTAGAAATGTTTCATGAAGAGTGCCGATGAGAATTTAGAGTAGGATTATAAGATTAAAGATTAGCTTGTTTTACGTGTAATGGAGCCTCAGCTTACACATGCAAGGATGAAGAAACATCAAAGGATTTCACCGATTCTTAACACCAAACAAAGCAAAGCCAAGAAAAATATAGTCATTCATCTATCAAATCCAACAAAGGAGATCTCATTATACGCCGTGCCATGCCGTTCAATCAATAACAGATCCACCATGAACCTGTCTGTAAACTTTTCCGTCCCATTCATTCTATTCCACAGATAGACACCCTATACGCTGATGGTCCTGAAGACGCTGAACTCCTCTCCTGTGGCGACCAAGCTACCCGTGATCTGAGGGTGCCAATGCACCTCCTTCACATCCTTGAGGTAGTGCACGAACAGCAGCTGGGGCGGCACGTCCTTGACACCCGCTGTGTCCTTGCTCTCCTCGTCGTCAAGCTCGACAGCAAGATCCCAGAGTGTGACGGTGTTATCACCAGCAGCCACAGCGACGATGGAGTCGTCGGTGGGATGCCACTCAATGCTTGTGATCTGCTCCTTGTTGAAGTTGAAGCTGGCGATGGGCTGGGGCTTATCAGAGCTGGCCTTCCATTGTCGGAGATCCCAGACGCCCCATGCACCGTTGTCGTCTCCGGAAGCGAGCAGATGAGTTGTCTGTCGCGACCAAGACATGACGTTGACGTCGACATTTGAGACCTGCATGGTGATTGCGGGCTTGCGGGATTTGGAACGCACATCCCAAATGCGAATGGTGCCGTCGCTTGAAGCAGAGGCAAAGACAGATTGCTCCGAGGGTGACCACTGGAGCTCCTCGACACTGCTGGTGTGGCCCTGGAAAGGTCTGTTGTCGGTGACCCAGCCGCCTCCATCGGTGCGCGTTGTCACGTAAATGAGGCCGTCGTTGTCACCAGTGAGGAGCTTACCACCAGGAACTGTGGGAGACCAGTCAACGGCGTAACCTTCGGTCTTGTGTGCGCGGACAGTAGAGATAGGCTTGTTCTGCTGAGCGGAGATGGTAGTTCCGGGGTTGTCGAAGGAGGCGAGATGGGGAGTAATATCGTGGATGTAGACGTTGCTTGACTCAGTCATTGTAGCAGTGAGAGTAGTTCCTGGTCGCCCAGCCTCTTGGCTGGGAATCTGGTGGGAGCGGATACGGTTGGTCGTAGAGTTGAGAGGAATAGACTTGCTCTCCAGGATAGGGTCAGAGTCCTCGTCATCATCGTCCTCCGAATCAGAACCCTCGTCACCACGGTCCATCTTGCTGAGACCGCTGAACTTCATGACCATGATCTGGTTGTCAGAGGCCTTTCCAGTCTCGGCTTGTGTTCCTGAGACAGTGTACATGGTAGCGGGGTAGGCCTTGCGGTTGTCGCCGAGGTCATCGCGGATGATATCGAAAGAAAGGCATGGCCAGGGTGTGCTGAGGTTGTGCAGCATCTCGTAGGTTGTCAGATCGGGAGCGAGGGTCTGGCCGGGCTCGAGTTTGCTTCGTCCGACGATGAAGGTTCCTTGGTCGACTTCCATGGCATCTATTCACAGCATTAGACAAGAATCTGAGCGGTTCAGGAATGATGACTTACCCTTCTCTTCAGCCTCGCGCTCAGCATCAGGTCGTCCATCAACACCCGCCTCAAGAATCTCATCCTCGCTCTCGAACTCGTCCTCGAACTCATCTTCAAACTCTCCCATCTCCTTGTTGTTGTCGTCAATGTCCATCTTCTCAGGGCGTTCGCCGCCCTTGAGTGCATCGCCGTGATCGGCCTCAGCAGTTCTCTTTGCCATGATTTGGAATATGTGGTGTTCTTTGGTTCGATCTACGAATTGAAACCACGAAAAGAATGAATTTTTAGTTATCGCCGTGTTTTTGGTGCCCCTCCAAATCGACTACAGGAAAAAAATAAATTGGAGACTGCCGAACCCCGCCATGACCGCGGGGCTTTCCGAGAATTTACCGGCGCAAAGCCTTTTGTGGGATGAAAGAGATCATTGTAATGGGAATAATTAAAGTATGAATGTGAGGAAAGTAAGACGTGTTGAACGTTTCAAGTTATTCTGTATATTTCTATAGATTATACGACTTGAGCTGATATAAGGAAAGAGAGAAATTCCACTAGAACATACCTGTCTTGGATGTAAGGCCTTTGATAGCCACGGCATGAGCATGATGAAGTTGAATTGGACTCAAATCAAAGGTACCTTTGACTTACTTTTAGACTTGAATTGTATGACTTTAGGTAATTTGACCGAGGCATGAGCTGCAAGACAATCTGATCTGTGTAAAGTCTTGCCATGGTCAGATAAGATAGATACCCTTGATTGCTGATAAATTCAAGCCTCGCTTCGCCCCATACAGATCCGTCGTATTCGTGGACCGTAGTATGATTGATTCCAAATGGCCTCCAACTCCGCTACGCATGGAATACGTTCCAGGGAGGGACATGGCTCGGCCGGGCCTGTTTTGTCAGCAGTTAATTCCATTCATTCAGCGGCACTCGGCCCAAAGAACCCCACGTCAGCGTCTCCGAAATTTCACGATTGTGTCATAGTGCCTGTCATGTTCACCACCACCGACTCCCGTTTTGGTTCCTGAATAATTGAGTCGGTCGAGTAATCAATCAATCGCGAAACTGGAGCTTCTAGAAGCCTGAATAACCAAGTATATAAAACGTATCCACTCCGCTACAGTAGATCCATCTTGACTTTTCAATTCTACCCCTCCATATCATACTTACTTTAGTACTTATATAAACACAAACCCCCCACCAAAACCCCTCAACCCTTCATCAACAAACTCCAACACACTTACAAACCAACACCTAAACCACAAACCACAAACCACTCTTCAAAATGGCTGCTCCCTCCGCTGTTGTCGAGATCAAGTCCAAGGCTCAGTTCGACGAGCTCATCAAGAACACTCCCTACGTCGCTCTCCAAGCCCACGCGGCATGGTGCGGCCCCTGCAAGGCCATCTCCCCCATCTTCAACAAGCAGGCCGCCGAGCACAAGTCCGACAAGTACACCTTCGCCAAGTTCGACACCGACGACGTCCCCGATCTCGCCCATGAGCTTGGCATCCGCTCCATCCCCGCCTTCTTCTTCTTCGAGAACGGCGACAAGGCCAGCGATCTGCTCGGCGCTGTTCCCCCCAAGCTGATTGCCACTGTCAAGAGCTACGCCGACAAGGCTACCGGTGGTGCTGCCGAGAAGCCCGCTGAGGAGAACGCCCTCAAGACCGATGAGAACTTCTAAATGGAAAGACTTGGGCGAAAAATACAAAATACTACAGAGCAAATGGCGTCGAGAACGCATATTCGCAAGGATACCCCCCTATAAACAAGGCGCACATCACGGGCACCATTCACCAAGGCGAAAACCATCATGAGCTAGGATTGCGACATATGGCTATGCGAAAGCCCAAGGCTTTGAGGAGGATGGGTTGCATTGCTTAGCTAGAAATACACCTGATCACTTCAGACGCAATTCTTGTCTCTTTGTGAAATATTTGTAATTCTGTTTTTTATTGCCTCTGGAAGTATCGACTCCAGATTGTATTGTATATATGTACTGTAATATCAAGTAAATGTTCGCTGTGGCTCATTGTTGGCCGTGTAATCCGAGACTTCATGTCTCGCTATGCTAAGGATTCCAGAACTCATACCATCGTCAAACTCCTCTTGCTCCTCTGGAATCTTCTCTTGAGCCCCCTTTTCAAACCTGCCCCCCAAAATTCCCATCCTCTTTGACACAAGAAAAAGTCAAGTAAGTTATTGTACAGGGTTCGAAGTGTAGACACCCTCATCAGACGCCTTTCCAAGTGGTATACAATCAACCCCCTTTAAACAAAGCAAACGCCAACTCCAACAAATGCTGCTGAGATACATCGTTCCCATGTCGTATCTCAGTAAGATTGAATAACTGAATCCGCCGACTCATCGCTAATGCGGCCGACGCCAGAATCCACTCGTTTTTTATTTGGTGTAATTTCCTCATGCGTTTCGATTTGATCCTCGAAACCATTCTTCTGATCACCTTGCACCGAAAGCCTCGATGTCAACCTTGGTCCTGCTGATCTGCGACGGTTCGCAACGTCTTGGCGAGGTGGCTTCAGCTCATCAACACCCAGGCTCATTCTTGGTGAGGATCTCTCTCTAACGCTTAGAAACTGGCTTCCAGGGCGACTATGACCGGGGTTAGGCGACCCGTTGGGGCTTGTAGGTGTGTTCAACGCCGATGAGTATCGGAGGCTTTGACGTGAACTTCTCCATCGACTCAAATTCCAGAAACTGCCCTCCTTGTCGTTAACACCCTCAGAGTCAGAAGCACTGATAAGGCTGAAACTTGGGGTTGGTGGGCTTGTGATGCCGTTTCTCTCCCGGTCTTGTGAAGCTCTGACTGTGGTGCGGTTAGATAGGCCACTGCCGGTAGGACTTGTAGGAGTCGGGCGGCTGATCGGACTGGTCGGTAGGGGCTTCCTTCGAGATTCTGGCGCCAGGTTGGCCGCTGAGTTGATCGGTGACTGTCCTGGTTTGGTAGGGGACATAGATCGCTCGCTTCGAGCTGGTGTATTGTTCATGCTGGGTCTTCCTCCGTCGATATCCTGACGCCAGCTGTTGATTCTGTCAGAAGCATGCTGGAGTTGGATAGGATTGGGGCCAGGAATGTTAAGTGATCCACGTCTCGATTGCACACGACTGCTCGCGCTCGTTCTTGTCATGACACTACCACTCCTACCAACACCAGAGAGACGGTTGCCTAATCGAGAACCTGACTCCCAGAGTCCTTGCTGGCGCTTCTTATGGGCACAGTCCTGTCTGAAAACCTTGATCTTTCCAGTTCTATCAGTAGTGATGATAATATTTCCGTCAAGATGCCTTGAGCGCTCGATGTATGCTGGTGTTTCTTCCGGCTTCTTGTTGCTGTGAAGCGAGTCGCCGTGGTCTTCATCTGACAGAGCCGAATGACTTGGCGTGCTTTCTTCAAGGCTCCGTAGCATCACAGGTGGTGGGTTGCACAAGTCGTAGATAGGATCTCCAGAAGCACTCAATAGTTGTCGACTCTTCGACGGAGCCATCAAAGCCGTAGTAACGACCTCGGGGTGAGCATCGAATGTTTCGTATGGCTGCTTATCCTTGATCTCGTCTTGACCACCCATCTTCCAGATGTAGGCCTTCCGATCTTCGCTGCCGCAGATAATATAGCTGCCGTCATCGCTGAAGCGTGCATTGATTTGGCTAGACTGGTTCTCCAGTCCCTTGTACTTGACCTGGATCACTTTGTCGTTTAGGTTATATACTCGAACTCGAGAGTCATTTGAAGTAACCAGGACCTTGACTGTCCCAGCTTCGGGTCCTGAGGGTATCGTCATAGTTCGAATGCCAGTGATTTTGCTTCCTTTGGCGTTTTTGCCCCTTGACGAGCGGACGTGAATTTGGTACTTCAGCTTCAAGCCCTCGGTAGCGTAGAAAGTACATAGACCGCTCAGCACACCACATATAGCAATATTTCCGTCGGGGGAAAAGGCTACCGCAGTAATGAATTCACCAACAGGTGCTTGGAAAGCGACGCTTTTGTCCGGAATACTCCATAATCGGAGTTGTGCATCCAGTGATCCTGCGAGGAAGAATCGATCGTCTGTAGGATGGAAGGCGATCGACGTGACGAGATCCTTGTGTACAAAAGTGCACAAGCAATCACTCCTGCTCATATGCCATAACTTCACGGTCTTGTCCATCGAAGACGATAGCAAAAAATTATTCTTGCTCCAGCTCAAGGCAAGCACCTCGCCAGTGTGTTCCTTAAACTCTCGCACAGGCTTTGTGCGGAAGACAGGGGCACTAAGCTTCTCCCCATGAGTACCATTTTGTGCCTCCTCTTCCTCGTGTGCTTTGCGTTCCTCCGGCGTAGATATCACAGCAAACACTCGTACGATCTGATCCTTTCCTGCAACGGCCAGGTATCGTCCATCCAAGCTGAATTCGGCTGCCCAGATAGCATCTCCACCCCTAAGGATCTTGCTTCCAACTGCCGTTGCTACCGCTCGGCCATGTGTGTGTTTGTGTTCTGAGGCGGTAAGTTCTTGTGCGAGGAATAAGTGGTTATAGTCTCTATCCTTCTTGTTATGTGCCTTGACTCGGATGTATCGTGGAGGTTCTTTATGAAGAGGTATATATCCTCCGCCTGCACCGATGACGGATGTGAGAGCTCGTGCGTAGGTGCCATCGGTTCGCAGTTCACCCAGTTCGGAGTCGGATTCCTGCATGTCATCATCTTTCCTCCAACTTCCGCGCATTCCCAGTCGACTCAGGAAAGAAACTCCTTTCCTTCGATCCTTGCTAGAATCCTGGGTAGTGTTTGGCGACTTGCTAAGTTCGGAGCTTTGTCTTTGTAGGTTCTCTGCAGCAGGACTGTCGGAACGGCCCTGGTTTAGGATTCGTTGTGCGATGGTAGGCTCCGCGGTGTTACTGTTGGTACGCAAGTATATTTGCTAGACATCACATGTTAGTTGCGGTCCAAGTATACCTCGTTGCCCTTGAGTCAACTAGTCGCAAATACTTACCGTACTCAAAGGGTCAAGCCCAGCGTTTGGGGGAGGACTGGGAGAACTCGGCTTGAAGGGAGGTTTCCAGTCCTTTGTTTCTTTTGCATTCTGAGAGCCTGACACAGATGGTTCTGTAGTCGAGAGCCTGCTCGATGGGAGGTCCAGGGAAGCACCTGCACCTATTGACAAATTGTCAGCTTACATAGTATTATAGTGAGCATTGTGTATAGCTAGTATGACAGTGGCCAGTGAAGAGGGCCTTGGGCGCATAGGAAGCTCTAGTCGCAACAAGACCCTGCATAAGCGGACATGCGCCCAGGCGTTCACTTAGTAGGTAGGGCATTGTGACTTGGCCATAGGACCGAGTGGAGGGGGCAAGAGTAAAGAAGCATATACAAGTATGTACATACCCTGAGAATCAGAACGAGCAGCGAGGCTCTGGCGGCGTTGAGGCTCAGACTCGGGAAGGCTGGAAAGGGCAGAATCGCGACGTCTATACAAACCACGATCGCCCCGGACAGCAGGCGAAGACTTGGAGGCGGACATCTTCCATACTTGATGGGCAACCAGTCCCTAAAGAATTTTGAACGAGATAGACCGGCTTGCGCGGGCGGTCGGCCTCGCGCAACTTGTGGGAGTCCAGTCCCCGACCCGATCAAAACGAGAGAGTGTGGCCTTGGCTGACGGACTCGGAGACTCGTGGGGGGGTGAGCACTGAGAAGTGGGCGGGCGTGGCGGAGACCGGGGGGTAACGAGCTTCTGAAGTCCAATCCAATCCGAAGGGTCCGAGAGCGAGCGAGCGAGAGGGAACGAGACGTGAGGCTGGGAGGCTTGGCTCAAGGCAGATCCTTTCGTACGGGCTGAGGGCTCGATGTACTTACTGTAGCTGTGTACCTTTCTGACAGTGAAATGAATGCCGACTGGCTGGTGTTTAGTCAATAGGCCGTCGGTGAATGTTGTCTCCCTATTTCATCTTCCGCTCCGCCTGGACTAATATGCAAGTGATGTTGGTTAGTCTCCAGCTGAGTGAGGGTCTAATTCCAGGCGTGTCAGACAGGTATTGGTAGTGGTGAATAATGGATGATGACAGGAGGGATGCTGTTCAAGGGAGGAGAGATAGAAAGGAGGTAAGGCTATTCAGATGCACGCAACAAAGGAATAATGTATGTATTGTATTCTGTAATACAGAGCGAGCTCAACAGAATCAAAATCAGGTGTTCAGAGTGCAGCAGGGCAACCAGCGATTTTTTGCAATGGTTATATGAGACGGGCAGCCATGACATGAAGGACTTAAGCGAAAACGACCCCTCGGGCGAATGCGACGACCAGGCAGGCGCTGTAGTGCGCTGGGGACAGCGCTGCACAGCAACCAGACAGCGGCAACTAGGTGCTTCCAGCTACTTACAGTACAGTGTAGTGGGGTCGGAAGCCAAATGGTGTTAGTGTGTAAGAGAAGCTCGATGGGCTTCTTTTTATTTTGGCGCGTGATATAATGAGAAAAGTAAAAGGAGTAAAAGGGGTGATGAAATGTGCTGGTAAGAAGCTACGAATGAGATGTTGGTAAAGGGAGAGCTGATGCCCACGCGCGCAGAGCTGCGACTCTGGATGGCAAAAAGGTTCACAGCCTATTGTATGAGCAGCTGATGTGTAGCTGCAGCTCCTTAACCTGCTGTACACTCAGGTCAGGCCCCGGGCGCTGTGAGAAACAGGT